AGTTTCCCACCAGACAAACTGGAGTACTTATGCATCTCTCTGAGGCAATTTTAAGGAGTAGTGAAATTCACAGCATGCCCCCTGGGAAGTTGGTATTCTGCCCTTCTGCCCTCAGGTCTCTCTGAAGCAGGTCACCAAATGAGGAACAGTGGAAGGAAAAAAGTAGGGCTGTTCAGCCCAGAGAAGAGTAGAAAAAGGACTGGAAGGTAGAACATAAAAATTGTCATCTGCACAAAGGACAGATCTCTTCCATGTGGCTTCCCAGGGTAGAATTGGAGCCAGTGGTGGAAGGTCTAAAAAGTCAGATTTCTGCTTCACTATAACAAGAACCTTCTCAGAACAAAAAGTGACCCAAAAGCCTGCCTTCTAAGGTAGTACTGAATATTTCAGTGGTGGTGACTGATCACAGGATGGTTTTGGTAGAGGGGGATCCCTGTGTTGAGTTGAAACTAGATAGATAACCTCTAATAGTCCTCCCAACTCCAAGAACTTAAGTTTATGCCATTTGGCCTTTTGTCTTTTGAAACTGCTTAAAAATAATTTATAATTCCTCCTTAATACCATTTTATCTAGGCCCGGCCAGAGCTGCAATTGCCAGAGGGCCTCCATCCCTTCTCCCCACATTGATGGAAACTTGTCTCATTTATTACTATCTCCTCATTACAGGAAAAACTCACATTATGGGGATTGCCTTCCCAGAATGAAAATCAGAACTCAAATTCCCAACCTTCCTTGCAGGAAGGATGAAGTCTTGACCCTTTAAAGCAAGCATGTCAAACTCATGGCCCATGGGCCACATGTGGCCCATAACAAATATTTTTGTGGCCCAGCCAATGGTATGTAAGAAACATTTTAATAAAAATTTTGTAACGTAATTTTTACAATATCCTGTTATACATAATCTATATATATATAAGCCCAGTGACCAGAACGTGGAACAACCAGAACGACCGGTGGCTATGACACGCACTGTGGCAGCCAATCAGCCTGATCCGGGCCCACCCACCCCGATCAGGGGCAGGGCCAGCTGGCCAACTGCCCTCGGCCCCTCCCCCCTGCTAGCCCAGCCCGATGGGCCCCCATCAGGGTGGGCTGGCTGGACCCCACCTGTGCATGAATTCATGCACCGGGCCTCTAGTTATTAATAACAAACTACAACGTTCGCTAATGACTGATTATTATAATCGTGTTGCATTCATTTCCCTTACGTGCCTTACTCACAGGCGCAACATTTCTCTCCACTAATACTAGCAGCGAATATTTTAGCAGCCAATTGCTACGTCATTAGTCTTGTACTGACTTGTTTGGTGTATGCAATAGGAAATATTTCACTTTCAGAGAACAAGAAAATTGGTTTATTTGCATTACACTTATTAATTTGTGCAGTTGTTCAGTGTCTGTTAAGTTAATGTTCAAGAAAAAAAATATAAATTTTTATTAAAATGTTCTATTATTTTATGTTAACGATTACTCATTTATTTCAGCCCTTTGTATTCAGCATGTCTCTATCGAAATAAACCTACGTTTCTATGAAAATTAAAGCTTTTGTTTTTTTGCGGCCCACATAAACTTAAACCTTGTTTATTTGGCCCACGTTAGCCTTTGAGTTTGACATGCTTGCTTTAAAGGTTCCTATTCAAGACTTGAGTTTGGAAGTATAACTAAAGGGGAAAGGGGGAGGGGGAGAAAATAAGGGAGAAAGGAAGTTCTGCCTGGTGCCTCCAGACTTTCTTAAAAATGTTTTGGGTGATGGCAGAGACATCTGGCCTTCAGTAGTGGCAGCTGTTTCCCAGATGCTGAAAGGTCAAGCCTGGGACCTCACATTTCATTCGTTCTAGCAGAGGTGGCATGTGCAATCAAGCAGGTTTCTTGCATTTAGTGCTTCTGAGTAGAGAGGACACTGCAGTCTACTCATGGAGTCTGTTGCTGGGGCTAGGGGTGCTCCTGGAAGGTAAACTTCAACTCTCACTCCCACCTGCCTGTGACTCAGTGCTCTAACATCATCTACTATCGAGAATGGCTAGATGCTCACTTGGCCCAATTTCTCTTTGTCCTTGGACACAGGGAGCTAGACTGCCTTTCCTCCTTCTCCTTTCACTTGGTGTGATCACTGGACTGAGTTCTGTCTAATGGTGTGCAAGGAGACATGACAAGCTTCCATTCCTGGTCCCTAAAACCTCTGGGGCAGTCTCATCTCCCAGCAAAATCCAGTAGAAAACATCAAGAATCCTAAAGATGGGGAACCACTAGTAGAAAGGAGTCTGGGTCCTTGAATCCCCAACTGGACTGTGCCATAAATGGGAAATAAGCGTCTTATTGTTTTAAGCCACTTTGAGTTGGGGATTGTTGTAGGGTTAGCCCATCCTGACTAATACACTTAATAAATCCATTTTCTGCTGAACTAGCCAAAGTAGGTCTTATTTTTTATGACTAAGAGCTCTGAGTGTTTCACTTCTCTACTTGATCTGCCATCAAGAGGTCTGATTTGTCGATTAGGTAGTCACCTCTGCAGGTAGGATCTGGTTCTCTCAGAATAAGAGGCATTGGGCTTGACTTGCTGCCGCATGGAGTGACACTATGAATGTGTGATGCCCACAACATCCTGTCCCGTAGACTCATGCCTATGGCTTCTTTCAAGGAATAAATCCACCTCACATTTGGTCGTTCTCTTTCCCTGCTGCCATGACCTGGACCTGCCCTCTAATGCGGGAGTAAGGGATGCAGCCAGCGCCCAGCCCAGCAACCTCACCCTTCCTCAGGCCGGGCCACAGAAGTCTCTCCGAGGGAGAGTCAGCTTCTCCGCCTCTCTTGTCACAGCAGGGCCGGTGGCCTCACTCCAGACTCCCTGCTGGAAGCTGAGGAAAGTCAGGCATGTTCTTCTTGGTGCCCCTGAACTCCACCCAGGGAATCCTGCCCCTCCTCTTTGTGATAAGAGAAAGCCAGCTCTGAGTCAGGAGCCCAGAGAACCATCTCTGAGGAAATTACCTTGCAGCTAATTGAAATCAGGCTTTAGTCAGTGTAGTAGACCCTCTGGCATCTCTGCCTGCTCACCCCCAAGTCCCCCCACCCACAGGGGTTGGCCCATGGCAGCCATGCTTGTATCATGTGACTGACTCCCCTCACAGTTGATTGGACCAGGACTAGAGGCCATCAAAATTGGGCCAATGGATATTTTGTGCCTGAAATCTGGCAGTTTCAGGCTGGGCTGCTTTGACTCCATCTGTTGAATAGAGCAGCTATAAATTGATAAATGGTGGATGCGGCCGCCTTCTATGCCATGTAAACTACGAAACAGGCCTAGAGGAAGCCGGTCAGCTAATGAAAATAAAGTAGCAGAAATAGAGAAGAAAAGGTGAGTGAATTAGAAAGGAACTTTCTGAGCCTAGCTGCATCCCAGGCTGTGGGTCCACGAGCAATAAATTTTCTCTAGTTTGCTGAAGCTCATTCAAGTTAGTTTCTAAAGTCTAAACTGAAAGGGCCTTAACTGATTCAGGAAGAGGTAGAAAATGTTACCCCACACATTGCCACCTCATGGACACTCGGCACCTCCTGGCTTGTCATGAACTGGGAAACTGAAAGGTACTCAGAACTAGGCAAACTAGTATAGAGGCTTCATAGACCTCGTAGGCCTTACTTGTAAGTGGAAAGGACATGGCCTTTCTCTCCAGTCCAACAGCCTCATCTCCCAGGAGAGCAATGCAGAGTCCAGAGGAGTGGGCTGACTTTCCCAGCTCCCACAAACACAGAACCTAGAGACAGGACTTGGCTGGAGATCCTACACAGAACCTAGAAACAGAACCTAGCGACAGAACCTAGAGAACCTGGCTGAAGAACCTAGAGACAGAACCTAGCAGGAGAACATGGCAAAAGATTCTGAACAGAACCTGGCTACAGAACTTGGCTGGAGAACCTAGACAGAACATGGCAGGAGAAACTGGATAGAACCTGGCAGAAGAACCTGGCTACAGAAACTGGCGACAGAACCTGGCTGAGGAACCCAACTATGATGATCACCTGAATGCTGCCTCCTTGTCATTCCTTCTTTGCCGACTCCGTCCACACCTTTGGGGACCCCTGGACCTACTGGGGCTGGACCCCAGCATAGCAGAAATAGAGAAGAAAAGGTGAGTGAATTAGAAAGGAACTTTCTGAGCCTAGCTGCATCCCAGGCTGTGGGTCCACGAGCAATAAATTTTCTCTAGTTTGCTGAAGCTCATTCAAGTTAGTTTCTAAAGTCTAAACTGAAAGGGCCTTAACTGATTCAGGAAGAGTCAGAAAATGTTACCCCACACATTGCCACCTCATGGACACTCGGCACCTCCTGGCTTGTCATGAACTGGGAAACTGAAAGGTACTCAGAACTAGGCAAACTAGTATAGAGGCTTCATAGACCTCGTAGGCCTTACTTGTAAGTGGAAAGGACATGGCCTTTCTCTCCAGTCCAACAGCCTCATCTCCCAGGAGAGCAATGCAGAGTCCAGAGGAGTGGGCTGACTTTCCCAGCTCCCACAGGCAGCCTGGGTTGACGCTGGAACCCGAGT